AGTATGGAAATTAAAATATTAACTAATTTTTGGAAGTGTTTTTTAACTAGATCTATCGCGAGAGTTATTTAAGAGTATTATCTCTTCTAAATCGACTCATTTTAGTTATCTGCTGCTCCAACTCATCTAAAATAAGGCTCATCTATCTTGTTCTACCATGAGCTTAACAACAATCTGGTAAAACTATCGACCAAATGTTCAACAAAAACGATTACTAACATCCAACTCTGACTTTTTTAGACACAGATACTGATTTTGATATCCCAGGCGCCCTAGCAGTAAATCAATGATTTTATCAACTATTTCTAAACGATTCTAACTTGCACTGCTACTTCCAGCCATTAACTCCTGGATAACTCCTGGTTAAATTTCAGTTCTCAATTCCTACCTGAGTAATCAACCGCCAGAAAAGATTTCCTCTTCAACGACAAGTGTTCCAAGGCTGACCAGTGGCAAAATATTAATCCCCCGTCGTTCGAACTACCGCTAAAAATCCGGAGCCCCGACCTTGGTCGGTCGTCGAACGCAGAAATCAGAGTCGGTACCGGCTCCGAAACGGGAAGGAGCCCGCGAGGAACGAGGCAACCGAGTCGTAATCGAAAAGTTTCGTAAGACGATTTTTTTCACCGAGCGCTGGGGCGATGGAGAAGGCGAGTCCCCGTGGTCGAGGCCAAAGAAAGCCACGGGGTTTAGAATAAATCAAGTAGAAAGGCCCCGAGAGAACCACGGCTAGAAATATTCGGCGCTCGCTTTGAACGAGGCCGCTGCATGGGACGGCCCCAAAGGAAGAGGAAAAACGAGCAACGGAGAGGGGCCCAGGCCCCGAAGGAGGACGGGACGAGACCCAAACGGAGCAGGACGGAGAGGAGAGATGGCAAAAGGAGGCGAACGAACCAGGCTCAGGCTACGTTACAGCAGCTACGACTGAAGATATCAATCAACGGGCGCATTGTGCTCAGGGATAATTTGACGCGCGGCTGAAAGGGCCAGATCTCGAATTCCACGACCGGATAATGGCCCCTATGAGGCCCCGAGGAGCCAGAACTTCGGGGGTATCTACCGAACCGCAGCTTTCGTAGCGGTGGAATCGTCGTGCGCGCTTCGAACCCCGCCTGGCCCGCGATTGTCTTCTCGGCTTGGCCTTTATTTTGGTCAAGACACATTGTTCCAATTCCACGAACGCATTACTCAAGGGCTGGATAACGAATCGATCGCGTCGATTTCATTCGTAGCGCTATCCGATACCAACGGTGACGTCGGATTGAGTGCTTAAACCTGGGGACTTTTAAATCGGGAAGGGTGGTAGGTGTTCACTGGTTGCCTGGATGAAATCGGTTGAGGTAGATATGAGCCGTTCACTGCACAAATCGAATAACTTCACTTCTTGAAACGTCTCAAATTTATGTGTCAAAGCACTTGGTATAGTCATAACTTTTTATATTCATAATAACTTTCTTAAATAATAAAGGTTAACACCATTAATCGACAAAATTTTGTTGGTCATTGGATGATAATTAATTTATTTCAGAGGCATTTTGATCGCATTTCTCAACTTTTTGTTTTATGAAGTTAATGGATTTGTCCAATGAACAGGTCATACGTTGGAAGCTCATGTTATTTTGTCATTCACTCTTTTTTCCTAACATATTTAAGAATTGTTGCAAATTGTTTTTATTTCTTCAAAGAAGTCATCAGATCTCTAATACAGGACTTGGTTTGATTTTTCGTAATTTTCTCACCTATGGTTAAACATAGCTTTCAACTGGATTTTTTTTGATATAGAAGAATCTTGAAAATTAAGGTTTTCTGTGAGAAAAGTGAGTAAGTTGTCTAATAATTGCGAACAGTTCACATATATTCTACTCTCTGTCTCTCTGCCAGGCCCCCAAAATTTTGTTCGAGGCAAGAAATTCCTAAATTAATGATGGGTGGATGATATAATACATTTCAATAGTAATTTCTAAATAATGCCTGATTTACAATGAGAATTTCAAGGGTAACGATTGAGCTACGACGTGAAGTGACGGGATGAGTTGTATAAAATATTTTATTAAGTCGGAAGCGAATGACTCTTAATGACAAAGTACCGTAAAAGTCAGACTTAGGTTTATATCAATCATCACACTACAAAGTCCACTGCAGTGATTAATTTTTTGGAAAGATATCGTACAAATTCCAATTATTTAATGAAAAAAAAAAACAGAAAAAGGAGCTTCTTCATCTTACCTGCCAATCATCAAACAATTAAATTCAAAACTATTATTCCTCCATATTCTCAACCATTACAATTCCCTTCTTCCAGAAATACGTGTTCGTATGTACTCTAACATTTTCAACTTCATCATCCTCATTATTTCGCGTCTAATATCGGTGAACACATGTTCGAAAGCATCTATTACCTAACTATTCTCGTAAAAATACGACACGTTCACTTTCTCCAAATTCCCGCGATAAAAACTTGCCAACAATACAAATAAACGTCATACTTCAACATAGAGCACTCCAGAGTTGAAAGCTAGACCTGCCAAGTTGCAGCACCGAAGTCCGCCGGATCGGAATCACCACCATCCACTACGTTATTTTTTAGAGCACAGATGTCGTTTGCTTTTACTTTGCTCGTATATTCACGGTTTGATTCACATTCCTATCCAGAGATCGTAAATTGGACGTCGAGCGGCGCAGCCAAACTTCCAACGCGTCGAGCGTCCGTCGGACAACGAACGACCAACGTCCTCCGAGAGAACATCCGTAACCTGATTTATTCAAACGTTGACCATTCGAAATTCCTTTAGATTTCTTCCTCGGTCTGATCGAGCATGATTTACGCACGAATCGCGTCGCTTCCGATTTCGAAACGGTCTGGCGATTAATTATGGAAGATGGCGTCTCGTCCAGGCGATAAAAAATAGGAGCTACGTTGCGCGACGCTGACGGGGAACCTCGACCGCGTAAAATATTACACCGATATCCGTCTCCAACGACTTTATCGCCTGTAATTAATACCCTTACAGATAGTTCTCATCGACGCGATCCACGCGGTCGTCAACTTCTTCGCTTTGATAAGACTTCTTTTGGAGTAACCGATTTCGGAGTCACTACTAAAACGAAAACTGGGCTTGCGGACACGGTAAATGTCTTGGGTAATTTTATTTTATGTTTTGGAAAAAGATTTGTATAAAAAAAAGGCATCTTATATTACCCAACTAAGTTCTTGGTTTATTGTACCCCTCCGGGAAAGGGTGATAGAATCATTTGTTCCGTCGAGTGATTCTACGTGGCGACACGATTAAAAGAGAAATTATTTCTTGGTTATTTACAACTCCACCGATTAATACTCTAAATGAACTGTAGGTGCTATAGGAATTGAGAAACAAGTTAATATTCGAACAAATTAAGCACCAGGAGTGATTGATATCGGCTATCAAGAGGAAACCAAGGAAATTGTGAGTAACTTGAAGAGCTAATAGATATCCCTACAAGAAATATCCCTTTACTGTTTTTTGATAAACTCCAAACTTCTACTCGTTGTTGCTTCGTCAACGGATGCTTCTCCTTCTGAAATTCTTTTCTCAATCTAGCATTTCATGAAACAGATATTTCTCTTACTCCATCTAATCGAATCTTGGGATCGCGGTTTGCCGAATCCCTGAACAGGTAAAAGGCACGCGTGCAAAGCGAAACGCCCAGCACGATTTTCCCCAGTCGGAAGCTGAATGGAGCACTTGACTTCCCGATTTCTCCCAAACAGGATTAAGAGACCGAGAAGAGTGCGTCCACGCCTGTCTGTCGCCATTTCCACGATACAATGCGACCCCGAGGGCGCCTTTACCTGAACGCCACCAGCACGTGCTTCCCTTTTTGTTCGATACGAGGAAATTTTTCGAGCTCGACACGCGAGACACCTCAACCGCTCTACAGGTGGACTCTCTTCTCAGCCAGCGCTTTGGGACAGAGATTTGCGGTCAGCCTGTTTGCCTAACAGGTGGATCTATTCCACTGGCGACGATTACACGGTAAACTGTTTGCAGTGTCCGTCCTCGAAGAGACGCCAAAGTCCTCCCGAGACTTCAAACCGATCCGCGTTCATCTCGACGAATTTGCATGAACCTTGGTTCTGGGAACGATGGTTTACACTTCGAGCGACTGGGTAGTTGAGAACTGAGAAAGAGCTGCTCGAGTTATGTCCGCTGAGCGAGAAGTCATCGCGTAATTTCGGAGTATATCTTTTTGAAGAATTGTTGAGAATTGTAATCTAGAGAGTGATAGTTAGCGATGGAGGTAACGAACTTTTTCTGAGTGAAAAAATATTCCTCTAGGACTATATTGAATGACGGGTACAACAGCCCTCCACACTTTACGATTAATTATTACACAGATTATCGTGTAAAAAATTGTTATATCTGTGAAAATACATAGTACATCGAAGAACTCGGGAACTTCGCTACTCCGTAATCAAGATTCGTGTAGTCTAGAGACTGGTAGCACCGATAGAGGTAACGAATTATTTTGGAGTGAAAACAAATTTCACTACGACTACATCGAATGGTAGGTACAGCTGTCTAAGATTTTACAATTACCGTTTAGATAATTATACAGATTATCGTACCAAAAATCGTTATAGCCATAGAAATGCACAGTGGATCGAAGAGATACTGTAGCAAACCCAAATGGTTCGATGAAAGATTCGTCGAGATTCAAAGGAACTTGAAATATAGTAACAAATTCAAATAAAATAAAAATTGTTTAAAATTCCTAAGTGAGATCCTGAGAAGTCCAGACTCCCAGAGAAACAAGAAACACAGGAAAAATCACACGGCTCCAATTTCCCATAGTACACGCCTCTTTCTAATTATCCTACGAACGCACCTCAGAATCGGAGCAAGTAAAGGAGATTCAGAGGAGACTTTCTAAACACGGATAACAAGTTGAAATTTCAGCATTTTCTTGTAAAACAGAGTACGGTTTGTTCTCTCGTCGAGTTTATTAAAGCAATCCCTTACCTCGTTTGCTCGTTGGCGATTGGTTGAGATCTGGTGGCGAAAGTGCCCGTCGGCTGCTAACATGTCCAAACGTAACATATTCTTCGGTTCATCGTGTCTCTCGGCGATCATCGTACAAAATATCTCGCAGCTTTTTTCCCCCACTATTTAGCACACATTTTTCGTTTTCATTTCATCTGTTTCTCTTTCGTACATCGCTTTACACTTGCCCGCACTCGCAGCGACTATAAGAATTCGTTCGTTTCCACGAGAGGTGTGATCGGTTGGTCTTCGTTACGCAACGATCGAACAGCAACGCGTACTCGAAGAGAAACGGTCAAACAAGCATCGAGTTGGCTCTTCGGCGACGCGTGGCGGGACCACGCTCCATTTTTGTCACCGATCTGCTCGCGATCTCGCGCAAGAGAAACCGTACGTGCTAGGACTGAGGAAGATCGGTTCACGCGTTTCGGAGCACCACGTGACTCGACACGACGTCGCACAAACCGTTCGAACGATCGTCGACGTCCATTGGTCTCACTGTGACGTGATAATTCACTGGTGAAATTCGATCAGCGAGACGGATTCACCCAAAGTCAGTGAATTCTGATCGGCCAAGTCCGCCTCGAACGATCCTCGAGATCATCTTCGGGTGTCGAGGCAACTTCTCCGTATCCAATTTCCTCTTGAATTCTGTGCGATTGAAAGTGCTATCGCAGCGATTGGCCCGCGGATATTCCAACCTCGAGCACCGCTCGCTCCCCGAGATCTCCCCGAACATCTGTTAGCCAGAACCGGGGATCGGTTGGAGCGGGTTCCGTGTTCCCGCAAGCCCGCGTTCATCGTCGATCGCGGCAGGTCTCGTGGCAGATGATGAAATTCGATAGCGGCGGAGGCTCGAAGTATTTTCCCCGAAAATCGGTGATAATCGTTTCGATCGCTGCCCCTGAACTCGAGTCGTCCCGCGATATCTTGTGATAAAGTCTCGACGATGGACGGTTTCCTCGGACCGCGGTGGTCCAGGATCATCGGGGACGATTAGGCAAATCCATCTCGAAAGCGATTCTCTGGCTTTCCCAGATGCCGATTATTGCGCCGTGTCCGAGAAGGGACGGTCGATGGTAGACTAGATGAAGAGACTGCCCAGGAAGGTTCACACTGCCCGGCGGTCTGATCGCTGACGACTGAACGCCGTGGTAGCGTTTCACCGCGTAGTAAGCCGACTCTCGCCCCGCCATCGGCCTCTCTTTCTCTACCTCTCCGCGAGGGTGTGAGCGAGAGAGACGAACGATCGAAAGAAACGAGAGAGGGTCGGCCGTAGGAGCAAAAGAGATCGAGAAACACCCGTCCTTTTCGACCCACTCTGACGTTCTGCGCGTCCTGAGAGCAGCGTGCCCCCGTCCTGGTGCTCCGTTCCGTTCTCTGCATTCACCCCCACCGAATCCTTTTCGCTCGCTCCCCACCCTTGCGTTTGCTTCCCCCACTCCAGTCGCGAACCCCCCCACCGCGACGCATGAAAAGTTCCTGTGCTCGCCGTTGGGCGGCACCAGCGTCCAAACTCTCGAGCGGGACGCCGTTCGAGCGTGGCGGGCAACAAAGATCCCGTCGGTTAGCGGCGTTATGTGGGAGAGAACGCGCTCCACTGGTTGGTGGAAGAGGAGTGGTAACTACGGGTGTGAGTCGTCGATTTCCCCTCTCGTCGTGCCGCCGCATTCCCCTCCATCTTTATCGCTCCACCTCCACCCCCACCGGCGCGGCACGTGTTCCGTTCCGCTCGAGCCTGCGTGAACGTCACTCGCTTCGTCTTTGTCTCCGTTTGCTGCGTGCCAGGGATCGTGGTAGGGGTGACGGATTCGTGGCGGGGGTGTGAGTCGAATGGTGGGGAGCAGAAGAGCGTAATGTTGCCAGCACGCGTCACGCGCTCTCCACGCTGCGGCTATGGCAGTTCCGCGGTGAAAAGCCTGCCGATTTTGTTGAAAACGTATTGTCACCGATTCGAGATCGGTATCTTAACCGCTTGGAGGGAAATCGATCCTAATTTGCTTTGGAAGGCTTTTTTGAATTTTGGAACGAGTGCTGGAATTTTGGAGAAAGTGAGAATAGCTTAGGTTTCAATGTTGCGGAATCGTTGGAGTTTGACCAGAGCTATCGCGTACGATGAATACCTCTACACTCCAAATGTCCTACTCATAGAGGTAAACTCGAAGGAAACGTCATCGGATCATGCTTCGCGCTGGATGTTTGTCGCGCGATCTATTTATAGCTAATAACGCGGTTATCACTTCTGGCTCTCGAAGAGTACACACGGCCACTCTACGCCGCGGTGACGATAACGCGGTCGTCTCGATGAAAGTAAACTGGTTTCGAGGGAGCGAAGCTATTCGCACCCATGACCGTTTCGCGGATTTGCTGACGATCCGAAGCCTCGTTCCATTCCCTTTAAAGCCGGTGTCTACTTCGTCTTGCGTCGTAAACTTTGGTGAACAATTTCAATCTAAACCATCGCGTTGGAGTTATCGCAACCGTTTATTACGTCGAAACCGCGGGAAGGGTCCAATCGTCGACGAAAGTCGAGTCGTTAATTGACCTGTATTCCCGTCACTCGGCCCACGTGATTCGACGTACGCGGCGAAAGTTAATCGGAGCAAACCCGTTCAGAGCCGTTTGTCCCTACGTATCCTCTCTCACAGCACTCTGATGGGTGCATGACAGATATAATTATACGAACCAGGGAACATCGAACGAGATCCTGAGCGCAACGAGCCGTTCCAAACGTCTCCTAAGCGCTAACTCCTTCTTCGACATAGTTTTCCAGATCGTCCGATCGCGAAACGATAATCATCGTCACGATCGCAAACAGACTAACCCACCCCCTGCACTGACCACTTCGGAACGTCACGTTACACACTTTTGCTACCGTCAGGGACGTCTTCGCCAGCGATCACCGTTTGGAAGCGTCAATGGACGACGAAAAACGGACACCTCGAGCTCTCACCCGACGCGAGAAGACGGTATCTCGAGAGAGGGTTGGCACGCGTTGAACTGACTGTTGTCGAGCTCGATCGGTCCGCCCGAAGCAGCCAAGTTTCCCCTTCGCCACTTTCCCTGCGCGGAAGACCCTCCCCGCACCCCAAAACCCCCACCCCCTGTTCCGCGCCCGCCCCGTCTTGCCGAAACTTGCCAGCGACGATACACCGTATTTTCCCCTTCATCCCTTCCTAAGCAGTCGCGATACACCGTCCTCTCCCACGTCTTCCTCCCCCGTTATGTCTCCGCGGAATTCCGGAATTCCGCGCGTTCGTGGCTCCACCTTTCCCCTCGACGGGCGCAAAATCTTTTTTTAAACCCCGCCTAGCGGCGCGTCTCGCCGTCGGGGAGCAACAGAGAGGAAAAAAGCTGAGCAGGCGCGAGCCACTCGGCCTTTTTCCCACTTCTTCGGGGCGATGCAAACACGCTGCACGCCGTGGCCCCGCCCCCTCTCGCGACGGATTCCCCAACGGTGCTTTTCCGGAGAGATTTTCCTGGGGAACCATGGCCCTCGACTCGGTTTCGCGAGAGGCGGGAGACGGTGACGTCGGATACCGCCAGTTAGCGCTGCCTCGGGACATTCTGCTGACATCTGTCGGCGTATGGGTTGCATGGGATTTTCAGCAATACTTTGTTGCTATTTTTCTTTTCGCTTTTGAGGAGTTGGTTGTATGTAGGTGGATATATGAATGGGGAAAGCATAAGTCTATATATAATAGAATGACTAGAAAGCTTGAAATATTATTGTTGGAAACATTGTTAAAGTTGAATATTGTTTTCGACTTGGGATGTTCGGTTAATGGAGGTTCCATGTATATTGGCGATTGTAGAAGGAATGGAAATAATTGAAAGTTAGGTATATCTTCGATGGTTCCTACTGTGACTGCGGCCGGTAAGGAAGGGCTGCCTTGAATCTACGTATCGATCGCGTTTTAAAAAGTTACTAGACTGAACGTTGGCGGCATCTCTCGGCGGGATGATCGATATGAAAACTACCCTTAGAGATGTTCCCCTCCTTCTAATTTAATAAATTGTGCTTCGATTAAACATCGTACAAACTGTACATATATTTAACTTATTAATACTTCTGTAAGTGGGGTTTTTAAGGGATTAATTTAAGGAAAATGAAAAAATTCAGAATTTAATAATTTACTCTTGCGTGTCGATTTAGTTTATATGTTTAGAAACTGCTTGAATATCTTGATATTACAATTTCGATTGCAGTTTCAAATTTTCACTTGCTAGTAACACAAGGGAAGTTGCAACTTAAGAAAGTAAGCTTTCAAGTTGACAACCACCTTACGCAGGGGTGGTATTCCCCGTCGGTACAGTGTTCTGTACTTTCTCGGTGTTTCGGTAAAACAGGCAACTGCCTACCGAGGTCTTCTACCGATAAACTCGTAATTTGATGCAACCCCCGATGGCGTTTGTAGCTACAGTTTGTACGAATTCGACCTGGAAAATGCGCGAAAGAACAAAAAACGAATTAGAAATCAAACTTCGAGAACTAATTTTCTTCTTTTGATGGGAGTTTAGATTGCAAACAAAATTATGCATTAAATGTAACAGCTTTTGAGTTTAAAAGTTATTCTTTCAAAAAACAAAGGGAACAAGATAAACGAGTGTTTGTTCATTACTAGAAAATTAATTAAATTTGAATTATGAAGTACGAAAACGTTAGTATGATTTAAAATTCAATGGTTCTCGGTGTAAAACATCTTTTGAAGCATTTTCAATAAGGGGGTTTAGTTCATTTATACTTTGCATGCAAGTGGACCAAAAAGTACAGTTGGTCGAAACCACTTGATAAATATAATTGCAATGGTATCATGTTATTATTACGATTCCTGTAAGATTTTGCTTGTAGATACTAGATTTATTTAAAATATAATTTTATATGTTAGCAAATCTTCCAGCTACTATTTATTACAAGTTTGTTATATATTGAGTTTTATTTATTATCGATATCCAACAAAAGTTACTCCATTTCCGATTACTAATCAAACCAGTGAGCATTCGTAGGGAGTCGTCCGCGTTGTCTGACCATAACCGTCTGAATCTACTTGACGCGCTCACTACTCAACGCATTACTGGCCGCGCCTTTTCTTTTTCCTCGACATGCGCTACTTTCGCAATCTGTCTAGTGTTATTGCACTAAAATTCTATCACTATTTGAGAAATCTGGATGCACGATAACGTATCTTAGATACGGATTACCCGAATATAATTAAAACACAGCGTTTGAGTTGTGCTGAATTATTAAAACGAGTTGCGCAATTCGAAAATTCATAATGCATAACATGTTTTAAGTGTCACATTTCAAATAATCGTTTTGAAATAGTATTTGTTTCATATAAAAATGTAAAACTTATAAACTCTATATTGGAACTCTTTCCTACCTCGGATCATTATGAGTTTTATATCGATTTATTCAAGATAGACAATATCCTTCAATTCTTTACTTCCAAAATCATGTTCTACGATAATTACAGAATTGTTTATACAACCGTGTCTTATTGAATAGCCTGTTTTGGTGAGAGAGTGGCCTTACGCGCATCTGTCGGAATTCGAGAGGACGCAATGCTTGGTATGCGCGTGGCCGTGTAACGCGTAAATGACCATCGGCACGGTGATAATTATGACGCTGCTACCGATAAGGATCTTCTGGTTTGTCCAGGATAATTATGCGTGGTGGGACCGCCGCGGCCATTACCACTCGGAAGAAAAAGGAAAAGGGGGCCACGACGGTGGCGTTTCCGGTAACGAAGAATGCAACAACGCGCGCGCACCGACAAAAGAATCGCTTGAGTGACGGTGAACGCTTCGATGCGGCTTTGTACATGCATAAAACGGCACTCGCGGTCTCGTGGGAATCGATGTTAACCCCAGGAAGACAATTAGGGTCTCTGCTGACCTTACGCACTTCTAAATTACGTGTCCAGTTCATATTATTTTCTTTATGAGGAGATGTCTTCTTTTGGGCAAGAAGTCATATTGACGCAGTGGAATTTTTTTCTAGTGGTACAGAGTGCTTGATATAAATGTTCTCTGTTTGTATTAAAAGTACATACTTTTGGTCATATTTATGGCAAAATTCAGAAAATTATATTAGTGAAGTTAGAAAATATAGAGAGTCTTCATGGTGTTATAATCAGAAATAAGTAAAGCTAGAGAAGCCAAATGAATGTTGCTATTGTTGTAGCTATGAATCGTTGTACTGCTATTATTTTATATAGAAAACTTTGCTAATTGTCGATTTTATGCGGTACTGGTTATTATATTTTATTTTCTAAAGATCTTGTCATTCTTAAATAATTTAATATTTTCAAGAATGTGCATATATGCCAACTTTCATCTAGTTTTTAATTGCATACAATCCTGGTGATTATAACCAGAATAACAATAATAAACCACTCTAACATTCAACTC